GGGGTATGGGATTTCTTGTATTTATGTAAAACAGATCCATTTTCCTCCTAGGGTAATGTGGGCTAAGTGTAGTACGAAATTTCCATGTCGGGATCCCGTGAACAGCCCTGCAGCATCGTCCTGTGCTTCTGCAGGGTTACCTAGGGGTTCTATGCCAGCTTCTCCCCAAAGCCTACTTGTTTACAATCCCCTTGTGATCCTATATAATCCGCATATCACTGGGGTCCCCCAGGCCAGGGTATCCCTACAACCAGAAACTCCCATACTACTAAATGTAGTAACATGTAGTAAAAGCTGTGGAGACCAGGTGAACTACTGTCAATATTAGCCCTGTTCAGGGAGCCTTAACAGTTGACATAGGGGTCCCTCTTGTAGTTTAGTATAGTCCTTAATTAAAGTCCTTAATAGTCCCGAATGAGGAACCCATGTCCACTAAACTTTGTAGGACATGTTCACTGCAGTTCATGTATATACATATGTATGTATATATATATATATACACGTATAGATACATATGTATAAGTATATGTATGTATGAGCTATAGTCTAAAATCGCGCCGCCAAATTCTTAGTATCTCCCTGAAGAACCCCTAAACTAGTCCCCTATAGAACCCCCTAGAGTCTGTGTATTGGGTTTGGGTCTACGGTTAGGTGTTAAGTGTATACCCTGAACCTACGCCCAATTAGCCCGGGAGCGCAAAAGTGGCCTTACTAAGACTACTTAATCCAAGCAGTCTGCATTGTGCGCGGTACGGAAAGAGGGGATAGAGCGTCTTCGGTGTGTGGAAAAACGTAGCAGGCGTGTGACATTTCGAATAAAGGCAAGTTAAGGTCGAAAAGTGAGCCTCGTCAAAACTGCTTTGGCAACTGAACTTGCAGAGCTTGCTGCTTTTCACGTTTGAGCTGCATCCTGTTGCAGTTCCTTTGGGCAAGGCTTGTGACGGATAGCAGTTTTGAAATTGCGTCCTAGAAGAGTGTACTGCAAACTTGGGGAGGGAGGTCTTGAATGAATATGGTATGGTGAACTGCAGTTCTTGCAAGCTACCTCAACAAATTACAGCATCTGGGGCTCCGATGAGGCTGCAAATTCGGGCCGCGGGACATGCTGTGAATACCCTAAACGGTAGCTTCTGCTTGCATAAGGAAACAGTGGAGGGGCCGCGTCGCGGGAGGCAGCCCTTCCAAACAGCGGGGGCTTTGGGTGGAGGGCGCAGCTCCCCCCCTTTTGCAAAACAAGACTCTAGATCATATATGGGCATCGTCCAAAAACCCCTAGAAGGAAGTTCTGTGTAAAACGACCACGGCTGGCTTACAAGGCCTTCCGCGAAAGGTCGTGATGGTGCGCGCAAAAGGAAGTTTGGATTTCGCGAAAAAAGTATCGACATGCTTCCGCAAAAGCTCGCGATTGTGTGCGCGAAAGGAGCTGTGGATTTCCGTGTATCGCTATGCTTCCGCGAAAGCTCGCGATGGTGTGCGCGAGAGGAACTTCGGATTTCCGCGAAGAGGTCATTTTGTTATGAAGTAATATGGGATAACGCCCATATATATATATATATATATATTAACTATATGAGGTGCTGAGGGCCGACGGAAAGTGAAAAGTTGTGGACTGCAGGCTTTAAACATTTCCCGAGCCTGATGTTCGAGACGTCAGAGGCACTTCCCCCTGAAACCATCCTTTCCCAAACTAGTCAGATTTAGAATGTTCAGCTTCACACATTTAAACTCTGAAAAGACGCTTGTGCTTTTCAAGTGATCCATGTGGGGGTTTCCATGTGAGCTTCGGGCAGGTTATTCCAACCCTAAACCTTAAACCCTAAACCCGTTGACCAAAGCCCCCTGCAGCTTAAAGCCCACCCGGTCGGCAGCGTCCAGATCTTTCTGCAATCCCCGACCCAAAGGGTCCATGTAACAAATAATTAGGTACTTGGGTTTTCGGTAATATTAATTACAGTACAGGTTTTGGGTAAGTATATGACTATTTGGTACTTGGACCCTTAGGGCGAGCGCCAAGCGCATGTTGTTCAAGGAAGTTGTGTACCCTAAGCCGCCCTAGAACTTAAACCCTCAAACCTAAACCCTAACCCTAAAATTCAAACCCTAAACCCTAAACTCTTTACATCTTCAGCCCTCCTGAGGCCTTGTCTGTCCCTAATTCCCAATCGATCTCCGCATAGCCCTCTTTGAAAAGGTCTGTGGGTTTAGGGTTTGGGGTTTCCCTACTGTTTTGGCGAATTGTCACGTCAACCAAGGCTACCACAACACTGGGGAAGCTGAAGAAGTTTGCTACCACGTGGAGCGCATCGTTTACTCAGGAGCAATTTTTTTTATAATTGTATTCAAGCCTGA